GGAGAGCTCAGAACTTCAAGCCACATGCAGTTAGCACCAGCTGGAGGACTGTCTCACACTTCCAGAGCAGAGAAAATGAGAATCAGACCCTAACTGATTTTCTTACTTCAAAACAAATGTCATAGATTTTAACCATTTCCTCTTAACTGTCTCCTATATGTATGTGACAAAACTGGAAGTTTCAGAGCTGTGTTATTTTCTGAGGCATCCAGACAAAACATGACCGTGGAAAAACACTTTCTGATGGAAGAAGTTTTAAAAAATTTCCCTTTAATCTCAAATACAACTGTATATATATATACTGTAGATGGAATTTTAAGAGGTGAACTAAAACCATCAAAGATGGATTTCTTCCCACATGAAATCTTTGTTGTTGTTTAGAAAGTCATGAATGGTTTAATACAGGGTTTAACACTAAATGCCTACTTTTTCCCTAACTATAGTACTTTTAACAGGAAACTAATAAATGTGTTTGTGGTAAGGGGAGAAATTGCCCAGGTGTATAGAAATTTTCAGTGCTGTAGTCACCAAAAGAAAGAATTTCTTTTATAGGAAGGCATGAGAATCGACAGAATCAAACATCAAATTCCAGTAAATTATATAGAACTATGTGAAGCACATGCATCAGGCAGTCCCTTAAAATAACCACCTGCTTATATGAGCTGAAAAGGCGTGAAAGATTCCTGTCCTATATTTCAGCAGAAGGTCAACACATGAGTGGTCTTATCGAAAAATAATAGCAAGGGATTATGGTTGGATTTAAACTGACCAAAACTGCAATAATGCCATCGAGCTTTGAAAAGGTACTGTTCTCTATTAAAGCAATATGTGTTGGAGGTGTTGCACAGCTGTTACTTGTAAAATAGATTATTTTAAACTTGTCATATTTGACTGGCAAGTATCATGAAGTACTCTGTTAAAGCATAAATAATTTCCTCACTTCGGAGATGAAAGTTTAATAAAAATAGTTAACCAAGAAAAATGTATATACTTTCTTTGTTACATCTGATTTTGAAAATTTCCGTTTAATGTATTTATTTTCCCAGATATTGATTCATGTGGGCTTGTAGCCTATTTGACACATTTTTTGGTGTGATAGAGGTGCAGGGATTAACCACCTACAAGTAACTACTTTCAATGACGGTGGCATTTAAAGGTTAGTTTGCAACAGAAAAACATGGGTCGAAAGCACTACTGGGTTAATGTGGTAGGATTTTGTGCCAGACATGAGCAGCCTGTTCCTGACCCCACACAGCAGCACGCCCCTGAAGACCCAAGGAATTTCTGAAAGTCATCGTTTCCATCATCAGTCTCTCCTAGATAAAGAAGTGTGTATTTTTTGCTGTTCTCTTAAGAAACCCACCAGGTTGATAAGGAACATAGCTGAGATTTAGGAGTGACAGACTGTATTCACAGCACCACACTGGGTAGCTAAATAGGATGAGGTAGATCCAGATTCAAATTCCTTCCCTCCCTGTTTTACAGAGGACATCCGATCCAAATCTGTTCTAAGAAAGTGCCTTTATCACTATGCTCTAAATTGTTATGATCCTTTACATTATTTCTACAGTAATGTTTTCCTTTGTGTAGGATTCAGTGATTTACACAGAAACCAGGATTCAAGTGGTAGGTTAGAGCAGCCGGGTTAGAACCAGGATTCCGTAAGTAGGTTAGAGCAGCCGGGTTATTCTGACTTCAGGTCCAGTGAAAAAAGGATTTAAACAGAAGAGCAACTTCAGTATAGCAGTCTAAGAGAGTTTGCTTAGGACTGAGCTATGTAGCCCAGTATTTAACAGACCCCTGTGGAAAGAAGGACCCTCGGTGTTAAAACCTTGTTCCAAATCAGATTGCGTGGCAAAAGCAGCTTAGGTGCTTTGACAGTATGAACATCAGGGAAGCCCACAGAGTTGTAGGACTTAATCGTAGTTTTCTCACTTAGTCTCATTTCTGCAGGATACATTGGCTCCTAAAGGTTGTGTCTGCTTGGCACTTTATCACAGATAACTGAATGGGTGTAATCAATATTTTAACTAAAATCAGGGATCTGTATTTTTTTTCTCAATTGTTTATATAGAATAATTTAATTGAACTCGTGCAAGTCAGTTAGACAAACCCTAAAAGAGCAGCAACAGTTGAATTGAGTAGCAACAACTGAGTTATTCTGGCCTTAATATTTCTAAGTAGTGTATTGTGAAGAGATTTTAATGATGTCAGAACTACCTAGGTGAGAAGAGGGCTTTCTTTTTTAATCCTGCAGCTTTTTATCTGAATTCATGTGCATAATGCAACTCCATGAATTTAAACATATAATTAGGTGGTTTTAGGATTGAGGTCTTGCTGCTCTGTGTATTTTTTGTCCCTTAAAATAATAGTTATTTGTGTGTTTGCTAGAGATATTTAGTCAAAGGAGAAGCATAACTTTTATCTGTAGTCTCAGTCATCTATTATTTCCTCAGAAATTACTTTTTTATGAGAAAGGTCGAAACAAATCCATTTCTTTAGTAAGTCTAGGTACTAGATAGTATGTGTGAATTGTTAAGACCGTATTGCTAATTTTTTCCCATTCATTACTTTCAGGGAATTCAAGCACACCAAACATTTCTCTAATGGAATTACGTTTAAAACCAATTTTACGTATTTCTTTTTTATTTTTAAAAATACATGAGAAGACTATTCCTTTTGTCAACATTGTACAAACTAATTTTATTATAGTAGAAAAAAATGTTGCTGAATTTTTAGTGAGTTCTGATTCATGATCAGTTTTGTCAGAATAATTTACTAGATTGAAGGCGTCTTCAACAGACGTTGAAGCCTGAGGCTTCATTCCATGATGATTCTTTCTGTAGTGAAGCAAGTGTGTGTTGTGGGTTCAGGGCGTCTTTGTTGTTGAAATCCCTAGTCCTGCAAATAGTTGTGGACTGCCTGACTGTACAAATACTGGAATAAATTTAGACTTTCAGCCCCAAAGTGATTACTTAAAAAGAGAGGAGAGAGAAGAACAGGATAGTTGATATAAGGTTAATTGGCCTAGCTCTATAGGGGAGCCTCTGAGTGGTTAGTAGCTAGAAGCTGTACAACTGGAAATACTTTAATTTAAAATCCAATATAAAAGCTTCATTGACTACATGCGGAAACACTTAAGAATTTTTTTTTTAATCACTGATTTAGTCTTCTCTCTATAGCACATCCATTGAATTATTGGAGTTATTGTTGTAGAAAGCTTTTTTAGCATGACCAGAATCAGGGTACCAGACTTAAAATGGGCACCTCTCATACGAATACTATTTGCCACAAAAAAACCTCCACCCTTGGAGTTCTGTGTGGGTAAAAGGTCCTCACAGGAATATCAGCTGGTGTCTTTTTACATCAGAACAGATAAAGTAAATTATTAATCAAACACAATGTTTTTGTTAGTCTTTGGATTAATTTTAGTGCCTTCATGGATATTTAAAGAAGGAGAGAATTTAACAGGTGTGTCTTTAGAATTCTTATATTTAAAAGCAAATTCCTTTCCCATCTTGTTCTTTGTTCCCAGAACATCACAGAATTCCTGCTTTGGAAGAGGCAAGTTGGTTGCTGGGGAACATCAACCAGACTGGCTACTTTAGAGTTAATTATGATATTAGGAATTGGAGACTGCTAGTTAATCAGCTAATAAGAAACCATGAGGTAAGCTCTTCTTCTCATCCCTAAAATCTACTTTGATAAGTGAACCTTCACTTATTTTTGTGCTTGCCCCTCACAGGTTATCTCTGTCAGTAATCGAGCAGGCTTGATCGATGATGCATTCAATCTAGCCAGGTATGTTTTCCTGAAGATAATCTGTCCTCATACACATTGCTGCAATAACTCATGCGATCATTAACTCAGCAGTTGAGTGTGTTTTGAAGTTAAATATGTTTTAAGCACACTTTAGATCTTTTCCCCTCTCTGTTTTTCTGGGTTTTTTTTTTTTTGGTATGGCACATAAACATAGTCGGTAGCACATTCTCTGCTCTTGATCAATAATTGCCGTAGGGTATTTCCGAGTCTGAAGAGGTTCTGATCAATTTTGCAGCAAGTTCAATTTAACACTTCGGAGATAAATAATCCCTTTCCTCTTCCTCTAATGTATGAGGGTCTTTTCTTCTGTTTCTCCTTAATGCCCCGCCTCCCCTTTTTTTTTATAACTGACCCCTGTGCTGTATTTAATTTGTGATGGAAGGCATCTTTAAGCTTCAGGAATTTTTTTTTGGCCTGACTTGTACTGTTATATCATTTTTCTAGTATCTTTCTTTTCTTGTAATCTGCTAGAACAGACTCTTTTTCTGCATGATGCTTTCCTCACAGAGTGGAAAATCAGAGTTCCATTGAGCATTTCTGGAGTACGTAGAACATTTTGTGTTTTACTATGATCAGAGTTAATAATTAACACATATAGTGCTAGGTGAGTAATGCCTGCTTTGCGAATTGAGACAATGGAATTGTCCTCATTTTGAAATATATTGGTAGTCAAAGTGTAAAATGAGAGGAAAGTAGTGGAACATTTCAAACTTTTTGATTCTTGAGGTACCCAGGAACATTGCATCAGTAAAATCCTGTGATATCCGAGGCAGCATGAAAAGAATTCCTGATATTACTGGCTTTTCTGTTTGCTAGCATATTTATAGCCATATTTGAACAGGGGCTTGCAAGAATTGTCAGTACAGAGGTACATTTCACTACAAACAGTCACCAGAGATGTTTGAGATTCAGGCACAGTGTCACACAGAAATTATGGTTCAGTGATGTTCCAGCATCACTGCAGTAAAACACAACTGTGTGCCCTACCACTCTGTTCCTGCTGCCAGTGCTAGACTGAATATATGACATAAACTAGTGATTAGCCCTTACTTAACAGTCCAGAGATGTAGTAGGGAAGGAGGCATCATGGGGAGAGAAGGAGTATCCATTTGCTTTTTGCACTGCCCTTCATTCTTGCCTTGTGGCATCTTCCCAATGTCAACAGCAAAGGAGTAGAAATAGGTCTTCAGTGAAGACCTCTTCAGTCAAGACCCTTCAGACTTCAGTGGACCGTGATTTGTGTGCTCTCTGTCTAGCAGAATATTGCAGAGTATTCTGAAATATCTAGACTATTGGAAGAACTACTAAATACTCAATAATGTTAACAGTCTGTTCCAATTTTATTTGGTTTTGGCACCTCAGAGAGTAGTGTGCAGTTACACAGAATCAGTGCAGCGCTTTCTTCTTCTTCCGTTCTCTGAACACACTCAGATGTGGCTAGACTTCCCTGAAAATCTGGACACTGAACAAAGCTATTTCTTAAGCCGATTTTTGCAGGTGAGTGTTTTTCTTCTGAGTCCGTACTGATCCAGTACTCTAGGATGTCTTGTTCATGAAGCATAAAGGCAAGGTCTTGATTAAAAGCCCACCCTGCATCGTGTGGTCAAGTTTTGTCTACCTAAAAACCACCCAGAGATTAGATGAGTAATACTTTCCCCAAAGGTTTTTTTTAGGGGAAAAAAAGCTTTTCCAAAGCAGTTTTATGGTAATACTGGATCCTGCTCCTTTTTCGGAGATAATTAGGATCACAAGATTTCACACTATAAAAACTTGACTTAACTTTGTTAATGATGAGCTGCAGCAAACCACTGCTGCATTTGCTACTCAGGCACAGTGGGAAAAAGTAGTTGAGCTAAATATTTACAGTGTGTACACATGTGCATACATAGATATCACTTATAAAGAAATATTCTTCCAACAGGGATATGTATCTAGATTCTTGTTTCCTTAAAATCTCTGCACAGACTCCTGTCAGTAGTATTACCTTGAGTACGTGCCTTATCAGCCAGTCTGGGTGGAGGAAAGATCTGCTTTGCAAACAGTAGATTTATGCTCTGTATTTCAAGAGTAGCAGTAAGATATGTGGACCTGGCTAAACTTACCATGTAAGGTATACTTTTTGTTGATCTATTTTTACTTTATTCAATCTATCATCTTTCCTATTAAAAAAAAAAAAAACAAACCAAAAAAACCACAACAAAAAACCCCAAAACTAAAAACTCGAACAATTGTAGTGTGGCTGAAGTTAGTCTAATTGTCTAGCTGACTATACCTTTTTAAGAAGAGTTTGATAGTTTTTGTTTTCATCTCCCCTCTCCCAGACAAAGAAAGACCAGGAGTAGGTCTATATCCTCACTCTGTTCCTTTATCACGGGTAGGACTAGAGGGGCATTAAGAGACTCTTAGGAGAGGAGTGTGTTGGGAACCGGCCTTGACAGCAGAGTGCCTGAACTGCTGGGAGTACAAAAGGAGATGGGAAAGCTCTTGCTGGGACAAGCAATGGGGAGTCACACGCTGACGCTGCGGCGCAGCACAGCTGCCCTTGCTGTTTCAGGTGCTCTGACGTGACACAGCAGTGTTCCTAAAACAAGTTCCGAGGGCTATCGAAATCACACAGACCTTTTCAGTTTCCTCAAAGAGTCAGTGTTGGGAAGACCACCATCAGCCTAAGAGCAACTTAGCTTTCCCTGCCTTGGCTGCCAGGCGCAGTGCAGAAAGTCACTTCACTTTCTTTTGGAGCAGTACCGTATTTTGGATGTTACCTGCCTCATGGATGCAGTGCTGATTCAGTCTTGTCTCCAATGCACAGTGTGTGTTTCTCCCTGTCCATATAATGTTACGTAATGGGGAGATTAAACACGTACAATTGTCTTTGACTGACATGAAAAAAGGTGGGTAACCTTATTGACCAGGCATAGAGGTAGTAATTGCTAGTTTAGACCTGACTTCTGAGAAGACTGGCTGTTTTTAAGGGTAATTCAGTCCTCAGTTGTAGTCCCCGGTTGCACTGATGTGTTATCTTCTTGTCTACAACTACAAACATACGCATTTTGAGGGAGAGAGCAGAACTGTGGAATACATATTTTTATTTTAATCCCTAGCAATTCTTTTCAATGATAAAATACCACAAAAAAATGAAAACATAACTTCTTAAATTCATACTGGTCCTTTTTAAAAGAATTTCCAACATAAACAGTTCATTTTACTGTACTGAAGAGACTGTATTTCTTCAAAATACCTCATCCTTCTTAGAAACTTCTGAAGTACTCCCTAGTGTGTTGAACTTGATACAGATAATGACTTCCACAACAGAAAGGTTTGACTCAGTTTTTCCACTGTCCTGATACGGTATTTCAATGTAGTTTTACTGCTAATTGATTTTGTTTGTGGAACAAGTACAGGTCTTATCTTTAGTAAAATTTAATAATATTTAAATCTGGAGAAAGATGAAAAAATGACTCAAATTATTTTGGAGCACTACATTTTGTTTGTTCTTTTTTTTTTTTAAACAAAAGATATGTTTAGTTTCATTCCTCAAAGTGTTTATTATCCTTTTACTGTCCACCATAATGATTTCTCAAAAATAAATGACATAAATGAATTGATAACTCCAAGGAATATTTGAAGCTCTATAACTTTAATTTCATAAAGTTTTGCCCATTTTACATGGAAACATGTTCCTTTTTATTACTTCTTAGTGTATTTTGGTTCCATAAAATTAATCAAGCAGAGTTGAATGGAATAATAACAATAAAAGAAGGCTACGGCTTACCCATTGTGTTTGAATTCTTTCAAGCTTGTTTGTTTTTCAGATATTTTAAGCATAGTTCTGTTCTCAGCTGTAGTACATGCACACACACTGAGGATCTGAAGAGCTGTAGCCTTGGCAGTAATATAGCTTATGGAAAAACATGCCTCAAATTCTTGAGCAAGAATAGAACCTTGGCACTCTCTCTTTCCTCTTCTTGAACATCCTTTATCTTTTGGGGATGTTTTGTATGAAATTTCAGTGCCATTTGAAAATGTGTTGATTGTAGTAAATGGGATGTGTTGACTGAGAAAACCAAGGGAAGACAAATAGAACTGTGGTTCTCCTCTGAGTTTAAACTGAGCAGAGGGAAGTTCAGATAGCTTCAAAAAGTAGCATCATGGGAAGTCACAAAGATCCTGCTGTTCCTTGAAAATGTGAGTAATGTTGTCAGCTTCTCCTGTCTTTCTCTTTTCTCAGGATAAGGGGTCAGTTAGTGAGTATGTGAGGTGGGGTGCTTCCCACTTTACTTTGGGCATCCTAAAGGTGGACCTGTAAATCTGAGCTTGTCACCTTGCAGTGCACCAACAGTTAATGAAGAGAAACATGCATCTAACCTCTTAAAGCCACTTAACCACACAGGATGAGATAAATTACCCTCCTAATGTCAGGAGTGTTGTGTCACCCTTAGTTCTTCCTTGCTGGGCTCTAAATCTTCACGCTCACTTCCCTTCATTAAACTGATTGACTTAATCCAATACTATGTCAAAGAAATGGGTCTGGTTTGTATTCAGTGTTAATCGGTGTTGGATCAGATGTAACTGGGGATACCTATTTTACTGTCATCTAAAATAGTTATTGTTCCTTCCGGTTCTGGAAGAACCCATCCGTTTTATCTCTTGAAACCTAATGTGCGTATAATACCCCTTTGGTCCTCTCTGCACTATAGTCAGCTCACCGTGTTAAGGTGACAGGTGCTTGATTTGCACACCAGTTGCTCAGGAAGCCAGTTTTTTGATGGTGGCAATCTGTCTTGCTATCGATTAATATGTTGTCTTCTGAGGTTGAAGAGATGGTGGTAGAATTCCTCGGATACTCAGATTTTCCTGATGGTTTCGTGTCATAGGTGTAGTGACGGCGCAGTGCTTGCCAAGACTACAGTTGTTGGTTACACGTTAACAAAGGCCAAAGTAAAACCTGATGGTAGTTCTTGCCTATTTTTCAGCAGCAT